ATGACTATCCGAGTGTTCTCGAGTGGTGGAAAGGATGCTATGACCCAACCTGTCTTGGAGTTCCAAAAGTTCAAGTGCTTCATTTTCTATATGCACACTTGATCACATATTCAGAAAACAAAAGTCAGCACATTCACAGAGACAACTATATCTAGTAACTTTAAACCTGTTTCAAATACTAGCAGATATTAACTTCGCACCTTAATTGAAGCTATATAGAACATGTAAAATATTATTTAAGGTATACATAAAAATATTGGGTGAGACTTGAGATAATGTATGCGGCGCCAGTCAAAATTGAAACTTCTGATTGGGTTCGAAGCCGAGATGCCCGGATATGTCCCAGCAAAAGCCGGAATTCACGTGATTTTTCACGAAGAAGGGGCGGAGTTTAAGCGAGATTCATCGAGACTTCTTCGTGTCAATCGTGTCAATCCCTGCATTGCTTATTGTTAACTCCACCTTTTTGCCCATATATGGAGTTGGAGATGCCACTTGTTATTAAGCTAAAATATCAACTCCACAAGCACTATGCTGTACGCTGCATACAGAGGTTTGTCTATTTTGCATTGTGGGATATTAACGATTTCAACGTGGAAAAGTTCAGTCATTTTTCAAATTTCTTTTTGATTCTCCATTTATAAGTCATTTGATCGACGTACATTCAGGATGAGGCTTTGGCCTCTCATTGAAAACAAGGGAGGGATACAGATACACGGAAGTTGCTAGGCGTGAAACAAAGATCATTTAGGATGGCATTCATGTTTTGAACGAAAACATGAAAATCTAATGATACATGATTTTCCCTTGACTAATACGTAAATAGAAGCAACAAAGTTTATGAATGTTTATAGCTTATTCAAACACATGACAGTGATAATGCAAAAGAAGGTTACTGCCTTTCAAATAACAATTTTTATTCACATTACGATCTAGGCATCACATGTACTACTGTATTATACTGGCTTGATTCGTAGATAAAAAATATTCTGTAACAGATGCATATGATACCTGACACTTTTAATTGAAATTCAATGTCAAACCCAAGTTATAAGCAGTAAACTTAATGTTGAATTTAAGAACACAATTAATTATCAAAGAAACTATCTTTATAAATCATTTGTAATTCTTTGATCTATTTCAAATTATTTCTTTACAAATATAAAAAAAAAATTAAAAACTTTTTTGTCACGCAGAGCGAACTTTTAATCATAATCTAGATTTAGCAATATATATTTCGAAATAAACTTGATCAAAACATGATATACAGGTTATAAGTTACATAATACAATTTCTTTATTTTGATTTCTTGCACCCTTTTATTAGATGTATCGGGGCTTCATCATTATGATTTAAAGGAAGTATCATATCAAGCATGGGTTTTCAAGACTCTTGGAAAGCCATGGCAAGTAGTTGTCAGAATACCCTCGATAAAAATTATTTCAATTTTGGGCTCACGTCATTCTTTGTAATTTTTATTTTTAACAAATCAATCAAAATATATAGGACTTTATTGAAAAATCTTGGCTACAAACCTGTATTTGAAGAGGTTGGAGAGAGGGGATAGAATTATTCATTTTCTTTTTTAAAAGATTCGGCTGAAAACCTGGGACTCAGGCTAAACGTTTGATCCTTTGATACGAAATCGATTATTATACATTGCTAAACGTAAGAATAAGTTGATAAAAAATATCATGGATTTTGGAAATACACATAAATTATCCCACAAATATTTCATGAGTAGTCAAACAAAACCACATTTCTTGAACTTTGAATATTTTAAGTTTCTTAAATATTTGATCATGAAGGACGTCCAATAGGTTATTTTATTCACCCTTTGCACACTGAGTGTGCAGAGAAGGCTCGATTGTAAACAGTAAACAGAGTGAGCCAAAAAGGTCACCAAAACAAATGTATGTAATTACTCGGTTGTTCAGCATGGGTTCGAAGTCATAGTTGGCATAATTAAACGAAGTCCAATACCCTGAGACTTCCTTATTTAGCTCACATTGTAGATAGGAAATCCACCTTCCATTTGATGATTGAATTTGATTGGTTGGCCATGTGATTACGAAATGGTAAATGTAGGTCAGTTTTGATGATACAGAACTGATAACTGATATTAGTTGCAAAATACAATTTCTTTATTGAGGTGTAGAGTTAAATCATTTCACATAGCCTGATTGGTTTATTATACCATTTGAAACTGTGATAATAGTCATGTCGACATTGATTCTCATTGCTTAATTATACCATTTGGTTACAGAAGTCATGTCGACATTGTTTCTGATTGGTTAATTATACCATTTGTTTCAATAGTCATGTCGACATTGTTTCTCATTGGTTAATTATACCATTTGATTACAGAAGTCATGTCGACATTGTCTCCCATTGGCTAATTATACCATTTAATTACAGAAGTCATGTCGACATTGTTTCCCATTGGCTAATTATACCATTTGATTACAGAGGTCATGTCGACATTGATTCTGATTGGTTAATTATTACGTAGAATCTTAGAGATGATTAAAGTACATTTGAATAATTCAAGAAACTCGTCTTACACTATAATTGATCACAGAAGACCTGTTTTAGATCCAGGATATCCAAATAAATTATGGACTGTTAGCGTGTGAAATATATTCTACTCAACAATATCATGAGTGCACGGGGCGGAACAGTTATTTTTGAATTCGTGACATTTTATTTTAGACCATCCCGTATTTGGTACATGTATTCAATTAAATTTACATATGCATGCGTGAGAGTATAGAGTGGACGTTACATTGACAAATATTTAATTTTGTAAAATTATTAATTTTGTAAAACTTTTGTTCGACACGCTTTTTTACAGTAAACAAAATGAATGGTCGTCAAGAAATATTAACGTAGAATGGCCAGGACGTCAAGGCTGCCTAGTTTCCGCGTTTATAATTAAGATTTGTAGTAATGAATTTACCAAATTATTCAGCAAAATGATGATATATCAGGTAATATATATCAAATGTAGACGGCAAAGAACCTAAGGTGTCCCAATATGCGGACGATGATTGTTTTTTATTTAGATAAAGCGTCTGAAAAGGAAATACTCTTATATTACAAATGTCCCAAGTTTGTGAAGTTCCTGAAGAAGATGAAATTCAAAGAGACATCTGATTCAGATAACATGTTGGTAGCTGAAGTGGTATGTCTGAGCTTCAGAATGGCTTTTGCTTGTTCAGCAAACGTCATGTTTACTTCCCGACTTTACTGACAGATACTGAACATACAGACGTGTCGCAAAAAGGTCGCGCACGCATTGTTACACATTTTCGCTTTTTAACACCACAGAATGTGACGTTTATTGAGAAAAATGTACACATATGGAAATCCTTTCGTCCTCCACATTTGCCTCTATATCTCAAAATATTTAAGGCGAATAACTCTGATATCGTATGAGTATTAACAATGGGATAGGAGCATCATAAAACACGAATCAATTGATATTTTAGGTGAAATAAATATACGTGTTGCTGTGCTTGAAAATAGGCGAATGGCGTAAATTAGCCCTATTTTAATGAATTTTGAAAACCTTTCGTCCTCCACTTTTCCACATACAACAGAAAACACATACTCTTGCGAACAAAATAAACTATTTATTAATAAACTCGAGTTTAGGAGCAAAATAATCATGTATGATTTATTAAAAATTGATCTCATGTACACCTGAAAAGTTGAAGGTAACAAAAAATGAGCAAAAAAGGTCGCTGTCAACAGATTCTATTTTTCAAACCCTATGACGTCACAATATGGGAAGCTTACTAAAAATCATCCTTTGAAATAAAACTTCCATCTACCTTTATTAAGACGAAAAATAAGTATAATAGTCATATATTGTTTGAGTTATGAGCGTTTAAAGACGAAAAATAATTCAAAATGTAACGTGTCAACAGGGGATATTTGCAAGATGTTTTGGTAAAAAACTCTTTTTTAAAAAAGAACGCGCAAGAATCGTGAACGGAGTGTAGTTGATCTAAAAACTTCATCGAAACAGCTTTAAAATGATATATAACTTTAATTAGAATACTATCTTATAATCCGGGGAATCAAAGTTACATTCACGCGATACCCTTAAAAAACAAATGCGCCACCTTTTTGCGACACGTCACGGCTAAAATAAGCGACGCAATTTACAGACACAATATCAGCATATTTCAAGGATATGGTTTCAGATAGTTAACAAATCAAAAATACGACATTTTTCGCGAGAATTGACCAATGGAATCTAGTCGACAGTAAGGAAGGGGCTACAAATACGTTTTGGGAATAATTGTTAGGTGTTGTATTATGCATCTCAGTCGCCTTCTATGAATATAAAAACGGAATATTTATATTTAGGATCAGTGTGGATTTTGTACGTGTTTTGTTTTGGTGGTTTGATGTTTACGATATCGGATTTCTTATTTTTAATCTTTAATTTTTAGTTCAAATATGAATCTGAAAATTCATACTTTTGATTGGTCATTTGTAATATTAAATATCTAGTAAATAGGAATTACAAAATTAGACAAAAACTTTGAAACTTCAAAAAGAAAAGTGTAAAATCAAATAAGAAAAATGAAATATCAAACATAAAATTCAAAAATTGGTTGGTCCATGGACTTCAAATAAGTCCAACTATTTCCTCCTATCAGGTATTAAACACGGCCAAATATGCATCATTTTCTATTGTCATTAAATTACACAGTGAATTACCTCAATGAGTCGTTTATATTCATTTTGTTATGATAACACATTATCTTTTTGGCTATGAAATAATTTCGGGCAGGTCTTGCCCAACAGTTATTTGGTGTTCGTCTGGATTTACTACGCCTTGATGTCGCCGTTATCTGATTCATATTTATAGCTACGCCCCTGCTTAAATCGTAAACATGTTTTCAATATTATTGAAGGAAATATAATAGGAAAGGTATAACCTTGGAATTTTCATTCACCTTGATATTCTGCGCTCCAGGTATATATTGGGCTTAACTTAAACCCTAAGGTTGACTCAGGTGATTGCGCTGAACAAGGCATTGGCCTTAGTTAACATAAATATTTAGAGCAAATATAAAATTCGGATGACATTCTTTCTGAACTGACCAAGATGAAGTTTGGAAATACGCTAACTGAATTAGCTCGAATTGACAGTAAATATGGGTATGAGTATTTTCAATACAACTTGCTGAAAAAACACATAAAGCAAATGAAAGAGGAAAAACAACCCAAAAAAGAAGTAGAGTTCGTACAAATGATGGACATAGAATTGCAACGAATCAAGAAGCTGATATCAACAAAGTAAGCAACATTTTTGTTTTTTTCAAATTTGTTCCAATTTTAGTATGTACTTGTTGTGCAGGCCCGTAGCCAGGGGGGGGGGCTCTGGGGGCTCGAACGAGCCCCCCCCCCCTGATATCTCCTGAAAAAAATGTGGACCTACCTTTTTGCTTCCTTGAAGAAAAACTTGCTCTTCCCCACATTCACTGGGCAATTAAGATTTTAAAACTGGCATTACTGTGCATTGTTTTTCGAATTTGGGCTTTATTTTTCAAAAGTTGGCCCAATTTTTTTCATGGACATATTTGTGCCCCTTTCCCTCTTTTTTATGATCGTCCTTTGTGTTTTGCTAAACATAGCCCTAGGATGGGCCCGGAAAGAAATGATGGCCCAAACATATTGTAGGGCCTCTTTAGTGGGCCTTTTTGGGCATTACTTGACCTTTTGGGCCTTATTTTTTCAATTTCAGGCCAAATTTTCAAAAACGGGCTATTAATTTTCCAAATTTTGGCCCCAATTTTGGTTTTAGGGCTTTAAAATTTTTTCCATAAAAAATTTTACGCGCGGCCCTAGGATGGGCCCAGAAAAAAAATGTTGGACCAAAAATATTGTAGGACCTCTTTAGTTGGCCTTTATTTGACCTTTTTGGGCCTTATTTTTCAATTTTAGGCTAAAATTTCAAAAAACGGGCCATAAATCTTCAAAATATAGGCCCAAATTTTGGTTCTAGGGCCCTAAAAGGAGTTCCGCGTGGCCATAGGATGGGCCCAGAAAAAAATGTTGGTCCAAAAATATTGTAGGGCCTTTTTAGTGGGCCTCTTTGGGCATTTTCAAAAACGGGCTATTAATTTTCAAAATTTTGGCCCCAATTTTGGTTTTAGGGCCCTAAAAATTTTTACGCGCGGCCCTAGGATGGGCCTAGAAAAAAATGTTGGGCCAAAAATATTGTAGGGCCTCTTTAGTTGGCCTTTACTTGACCTTTTTGGGCCTTCAAGTTTATGCCAAATTTTCAAAAAACGTGCCATAAATTTTCTAAATTTTGGTTCTAGGGCCCTAAAAGGTTTTCTGCGCGGCCAAAGGATGGGCCCAGAAAAAAATGGTGGCCCAAAAATATTGTAGGGCCTCTTAAGTGGGCCTTTTGGGCATAATTTGACCTTTTAGGGCCTTATTTTTTTCAATTTTAGGCCAAATTTTCAAAGAACGGGCCATAAATTTTCAGAATTTTGGCCAAAATTTTGGTTTTAGGGCTTTAAAATTTTTTCTCTTGACTGGTCCTTTTTGGGCATTACTTGACCTTTTTGGGCCTTATTTTTTCAATGTTAGGCCAAATTTTCAAAAAACGTGCCATAGATTTTCTAATTGTTGGTCCAAATTTTGGTTTTAAGGGCCCTAAAAAGTTTTTCCGCGCAAGCGCGGATATTTTTTCCTGACTTGAAGTGTGGGTCCCCCCTTCTTAGCTTCCGGATCTGCCACTGTCCTTTACAATACAAAGGGGCTTGGTTTAGCATGGGGAATTTTTTTTTTGGGGGGGGGGTTGCGGGGGGGTTCGAGCCCCCCCCCCCCCCCCCCCCCCCCCTTACAAAAAGCTGGCTACGGGCATGTTGTGTCAAAACTATTTTTGATAATTGTCTCTTCTTATATAACGTTTAATGCTGAAGTCACGTTGACAAACTGATATATGATTATTTACACGGAATTCCAGGTTGGAATAGTTAGGAATACGCAGAAATCTTATTTGGCTAATTTTGCAATTTGTGGGCAATTTTGACAGGGGGATAATAGATATTGTTAGTACCTCAGTTGAAATACTCGATTTTGATTGGTCAACGAGCGGTGAATAATTTTAATTGTTAGTACCTCACTGTAAATACTCGCATCTGATTGGTCTATTAGCGGTCAACATTTTTGCCTGTACCTCACTTGTGCATCATCACGGGGGATAAGCAAAACGAGGGCGAAGCCACGGACTGCGACTCGCGTAACTTTACACCGCAGCCCAGCGCCAAAATGGAGGGACATCCGGCAGTGCCTTCTGCTTCTTCCGACAAAATAGAGAAATCCAGGAATTTTAAATGCTATCGTAGTGTCTAATCGGTGACCAAAATATTACTCTGTATCTACTGTTGGTCTGTAGATAAGAAAATAAGCAGTTGTCCAGATCAAGCTAAAACAGTAGCAAAGTTCTGATTTTACCTGTAAAATATGTGCATATTATTTAATTTACTATACACTTGAAAGGAGTTTTAACACGTTTCTGATATCTAAAGGTTAGTTGAGGCTCCGAGTATAATTCGTGAAAATGATTTGATAATAGAATGTGTTCATGAGGAGAAAATTAGATTCAAACTGCGCATTCATAGTGGACGCAGTCCAGTAAACAAAGCTATTTCAACAACGCAACACAGCCTCCATTGATATTCTAAGCAACGCAGTCCAGCCGCGAACACGAAATAAATAAGAAAGTGTAAACTATATTCCTACGCTATTATTGTTTCAGGAAAAGAAAGTCAGCATCCAGATTATCATTCAAAGTTACGTTGATTAACATATATCTATTACCTGAATCAATGTCCCAAATTGCTATATTGTATCGTTTAAGACCTAGAAATATGGCAATTCAATAGCGTATTTGGCAGAACAGTCGAGCGCAAGATGACAACGTAATATGTTTATTACAAACCAATTTGTGGATAGGGTTAAATATATAGATAATTGGATAGTGGTGAGACTTTTTATAAGAAGTAGAAATGCGAAACAATTAACTTTTTGATGATGCAATAAAAGCTGTTGGGGAAGGGTACATTAACTAGTATTTAAGATATCAGGAAAATATCAAATAATTGGAGAGTTGGTGAGTTAATGTAATTTTGGATGATCTTTCCAACAGTCCATCAATATTGCTAGCTACCATAAATTCATGATTTCAGCTGTATTTGACAGCTTGTACATATTTGCAGAATGGATTGAGACACGATGTAGGTCTATTAAAATAGCCCTTTATATTCAATTTTGTCCAAAGTTGCTCCATTTCGGCCACACCTGTACACACATTGTGCTATCTACCTTTGGCTGTGATTGCGTTCAGCTTCAGATATAAAGCAACACTGAGTCGCGGACTGCGTTGGGCAGATGGATGGACTGCGACTATCAAAAATTCCAATTTTCTAATTAATTGTACGTTTTCCGCTTACCAAATATCACACGAAGATGTAATTGTAACAACAGAACATGAATAATTATATAAATTCGATGTCATTTCTGATTCCTTTGTTTAAATCGGTATATAATGGACAAATATTGACAAAATTACATTTTTTGTGGCAGATTTCGATTTCATGCTAAACTATTGGACAGCCGAGCACCAAGAATGCCATTGCAGGTGGAGTATGAATATGTTGATCACCGACTGGAACATACTAGCTATTCTGTAGAATATCCAAACCAATAATCTACCCCAAATCCTAACATGCCTTCCAAATTAAGTTTGGACTTACCGCCATTGTTCAGCTATAATGCGTTGTAATCTCGTTTTGAATTACGCGAGTCGCAGTCCGTGGCTTCGCCCTCGTTTTGCTTATCCCCCGTGATCATGGGATATCATATTATTGACCGCGTATGTTACATTATCCTACACTTAGTGTACTTAATGTATAATAACATTAACAAATAAATTTGATATTTATTGGCAAAATGAATATCCGGAGGATATCGTAACGATATACTCCGGGCGGAGGATATCGTGACGATATACTCCGGAAAACCCAATATGCGGAGGATATTGTGACGATATACTCCGCTTGTTGATTTCCCGTCAAATTGAATCTATTTGGCATGGAATTCATTTTGCAATGATATTATAACTTTAATACACTCCTTGTAACTGTAGGATAATAAGAACATCCAATGATTTTTTTCAGAATATCATTTTAATCTACTCGGTGATATTGATATATGCACTCGTTCGCTTCGCTCTCTCGTGCAGATATCAATATCACCTCGTAGATAAAAATGATATTCCTCAAAATCATAGGATATCCTATAAGTACTACACTTGTGAATTATGGGAAATATGACGTCACAATGCTGACAGAAAAAAACATGGTAGACGGACATTTTGTAAACGTTGATGAAAGTGATACTTTTCTACACGACGAGTATAGCAAAAATACAAATAGAAACGCAAAATTAACATTGAAAGTTTACTAATGAGTACGCAGTTATGTGCCGAAAACAGAGAGTTTAGCTTCAACTGTCTTCAGATTTTCTTAAAAGATTATTGCTGGCGGGGTTCGGGGAGAAGATTGTGAAATGAAGCCATGATTGATGACTGTCGTCTATATGTGTATTATTAGTTTCTTCTGACGAACAAAACAATTGTAGACCTCTCCATTCGGTCAACCGTCAAAATCATATACCTCGACTGTAAACCTTGAAACTACTGTTGACCTCGACCTTCGGTCTCTGTCAACAGTAGTTTCTCGGTTTACAGTCTCGGTATACAATTTTGCCGGTTGACCTTTGGAGAGGTCAACATCAACAATTGTATACTGTACACCGCGCAATGCATTGCCGGTGAATAATATTCCCAGCATTCCACTAAAATGACGTCATTACCAGACGATAAAATGGCCGCCACTAGCCGTTTCAAAAATGTTGAAGATGAGGATATTATTAGTCTCTTAGAGAGTAAAGACAGTCAAAATACGAAGAAAAATCTAAAACTTTGTACAAAGCTTTTAGTGGACTTCGCCCAGGAGAGTAATTTGACTCCATTGAGTGAACTTACTGCCGATATACTGAAATACAACATGAACGTCTCGAGGGTCTGGATCCAACTTCAAATCAATTTCAAGGGTTAGAAAAATCTAAGATATTCTTCGGACTAACAAAACAATTATAGACCTCTCCATTCGGTTTACTGTCAAAATTATATCCCTCGACTGTAAACCTCGACCTACGGTCTCGGTTTACAATCTCGGGATACAATTTTGACAGTAAACCTCTGGAGAGGTCAATAATTG